CCCGAGGGGGGTGCTGCGGCCGAACGTGTGCTCTGAGGGAGGGCTTTGCAGCTTCCGGGAAGATGGGCTTCGGTTAGTTATGCTTTTAGGCCCGATAATTACTCCTTGGGTCTCTGGGTTGTTAATTCTTCTTCAGTAGCGTTTTTATTCTGTGTGTAAGACGTTGATTTTCTTACTGGTGCGATGTGTGAAGGGGAAGCACCCTCCCACGGCGCCATGAGACCTGCTGGCAAGTATGCAAATTCAGCTAAAAATAGTTTTTTGTCAGAATAACGTTAAAAGCAAACTGCGCAGGGACATATCCTCTTTCCCGGTTGATGTTATCTCTTACTCTCAGATAATCTTTTGTAGCGGGGTTGTTGCATTAATTTATGTGTATCCTCTGCAGTATTCACAGACATTTTTGGAGATGATTTGTCTGTTCTGTTACTTCTGGGTTCACAGAAGTGTGTTTCGGTATATAGCCTATGCTAAAAGGTTATCGTGCGGTTGTTAGCAGCAGGGAGTATGTGACTGCTGTGATATTATTTTGGGACCATAGGTAGGCTGAAAAGTGACTCTGGGGGATAGCTTTGTACACTTGTCCTGGCATGATATTTCTAAAATCCGAAATAAGATATCAGCACTATTAGCAGTTTTGCTTCTTGTCACTGTCAGACAGACTTTTGATACATGTGACAGACTGATTCTAGATCAGTCTAAGCTTCCTCACACAGCAAACAAATAAAAATACTTGATTTTATTCTGCTGCCTAAATAGTTTTTCTCTGTCACATATTTCTAACTTTTAAGACAAATGGCTACAATGTAAATGTTAAAAAAAGGAAAAAATCCCTGCCACATACCGAAAACTGTACAGAGACAACCTGAACGTTAACGTAAACATGGTATAAATAAGCTTATGCTATTTTTTAATTCTTATCTCTGTTTTAATTTTACTTCTTTAGTTTGAGTGTCTTTGAATAATTTTGAATTGGTTCTGAGTTGCCAATTTGCTGCAAAATACTCTATCACAGTGTTTAAGGTGTAGCTTTTTTTAATACAGAAGAAGCATGTAATTTACACATTCAAAAAATGTAAGTGCCCATGTTTGTTGCTAACTAGTAGTATCCCTTTCAATGCTAATGAAGTTCTTTGCATCTATGAGATATGTACACTTGATAAAAATCTCCAGTTTTCTGACGGCATCTGTACCCAATTAAGGGCAGGAGAGTGTTACATTAATAGCAAAATCTTTGTATTTTACCAGGTAACAGATTGGTCGGCACGTTCATTTGATGACTTCTTTGGAAACACAAATATTTCTTCTAGTACTGTTCCTGTGAAGCCACTAGAAGGCAAATCTGGAAGAAGCCGGCAGCAGCAGAAGAAAGACCTGTCTTCTGTACTGGAAAGTAGCAAACCCAAAGTTCTGCCCAGAAAAAGAGCAAAGTCATCTTCAGTAGATCTGCCGTGTAACAAGTCCAGACAAAACCGGAGCCAATCTCGAGATGAGTCATGGGTAGATAGATACAAACCAGAAACTCAGGTGTGAGAGTTATTCTAAGTGCTAATGTAGTAGTAATGTTATAGTGTTAACATGTTGTGCTTCTGTTCATAATCTGTATTGGCCAGATTCTAAGTATATCCTATTTTATTAGGGCAGTGAAGTACTAGTTAGATTTATTTACCACCTGTAGTTAAGATTTTAATGAGCTGTTTTTCCCCAGGCTTCCTGAGGAGATAAAGCCACTGATGAGATGTTGTTTTGTGTCTTATCTACTCATAAACTTTTGAACCTGTTATTGAATTTCAGCCAGATCTGGCAGCTCTAAGTACTAGGAAAATCCACAGCTGAAGAAAAGAGAGAGAACTGAGTTAGTGTACTCATTATGGGAAAGATAACTTTTCTTGCATGTTACTGGACAGCAGTTAGCTGGTCTGTTAGCATGTTCAGAGTACTTGACTAATTGCAGTTTGCTCTCTCTCTTGCTTGCTTTTATGCATCTTAGGCATGACTTTGTGGGGGGACGGTACTGTGGTGCTTTAGGGGTTTAAAAAGAATGGACACAAATCTGTAGGAAACCTGTTCTTCACTGGTTCTGCTTGTGGAACAGCTTTCTCACAGTGTGTTTCAAAGGTGTCAGCATGTGTGTTAACTGCCTCTTAGATCTAAGAGTCCTGGTTGATGTAAGTAAGTTAGTGTAGTACTTGTGTTTTATATGTAAATATTTAATAGCTCATCTCTGGAGAGGACCTGAGTTAACAAGGCTAAAAGATGAGTGAGCTGCATGAGTTTTGCGGAAATTCCAAAAACCTATATAGTATTAGAGTCAGTAGAACTTAAAGTACCAGCTCCAGCAATAGCTATAAAGCATACTGACTCAAGCAGGCAAGATTGTAATGTTGTTACTTTAGCAATAATAAATAATTAATTATCTCATTGCTCTCAACTGTGAGCAATGGAAAATTGTCTGTTTCAAGAAACAGGCTGAAATGACTATCCTTAACTGTTGCACTTACTTCTGCATAGCATAAACATATATAACTAGAATATACACATACACGCCTCTTAATATTTTAGTCAGCATAAATTCTGTTCTTGCATCTCATCATTACAGTCTTAGAAACCAACAGGTGTATATATGCATTTATTGTATTTTAATCTTGTTTTAGAATGACCTTGCTGTGCAAAAGAAGAAAATTGAAGAAGTTGAAACATGGTTAAAAGTGCACGTATTTCAGAGGCAGCCAAAGCAGGTAACAAAATTAGCAGCTAGGAGATAAAACCGTGCAAATGAGTTGGATTCAGTTTTATTTTAATTTCAGATAAAAACCTTGACTTATTGGTAGTGATTATAGATCTATTGCATTATAAGAAGTCTGTTAAGAACATAGAGTAGGGCTTGTACATTTGTTTAGGACTTATGCTGCTAAGAGGTGGAATCTGGTTTTGCTTAGAAATATTTTCTAGCATCCAGTCAGTTCATACCGCTTCAGTGTGTGCTTGTAACTGCATTTTATCTCCCATGGATTAATTTTAAGTATCTTGGCAAATTTCCAATGACACTGACTGGATGTAATAGGATGTTTTTAACCTCTTGATTGGTAAGAGGCATTCTTACATGCATGCATCATTTGCCAGTTTTGCGTAGTGTTTTTCAGACCTGATTCTCCAGTTCAGTATGTGTTATGTTGGTAATCTACGTGGCATGCAGTTATGTAAACAGATACATTAAAAACTGAGATCAAGGCTTTCGGAGTTCTAGTCTAATTCTTTCTGTCTGAATACTCAATAGGTAAATTAATAACACAAAATATTTAACTCAGTTTTTGTTGGGAAAAGAGAATCTTTACCAGAGAAACTATAGAAGAAATTCAACCAATATTAATCTTTATCTGTCTGTCTTTATTTATAATTTTGAGATTTTTTTTTTTTTTTTTTTTCACTGCAGCAGGGTGGCTCTGTTTTACTCCTGACTGGTCCTGCTGGTTGTGGAAAAACTGCAACTATAGAAATAGTAGCAAAAGATCTTGGCATTCAGGTGCAAGAATGGACCAATCCAATCTCTTTAGGCTTTACAAAAGAAGACTTAAGAGATATATTTGACCATGGTAAATATTTTGTGGTTTTTTTTTTTTTCCTGCAGTTACTTTAGTGGTTTTAGTGTTCTGTATTTTTTATTCTTTTTTGTCTGTGCAACATAGAAACTCAGATCCATATCCATGGAAGCGAGATCCTTAGCTTTTAATAAGGATTTTTCTTTTGCTTTTATCTGAAAAGGGATTTAGGTTTTTTATGATGTTTACTCCAAAATAATTTGCAATTCAAATCAGTATAGAGGGTTATGTAATAGCCTGGATATCATTTGACATATCTGCCTTCGTCTGGGTCCTCAGCTGAATTCTACCCTTGAAAAATTATCTTGTATTTGTATTTGTAATGTGTTTGCCAAAGGGCTTGGTTGCTGGTGTTCAATGGCTACTGTCAGAAAAGAGCATGGGTGGGTATTGGTTCTTATAGGTGTTTATATTCTACTTGGTATAATATAGAATATATATTTTTAATTAGTTTTCTTTTTCAGACTCAAATTTGCATACGTTTCCGAGTCAGGCCCAAGCAGTTCTCTTTCAAGATTTTCTATTAAGAGCAAATAAGTATAATAAACTTCAAATGTTTGGGGAGACCTCAGAAAATGATAAAAAGCTTATTCTTATTGAAGTAAGTGAAAACTTGTGAAATCTTGTTTTGACAACTATATGTTTCATTATAATATTGACATGCTAACTACCTGCAACTGGTGGATTAATGTTGCTGAAAGTTAGTCTGGCTTACTGCAGAGGAGTTCTTACTACTTTTTGAGTCTCTACAGCAGACTAGAGCCAAGTTCTTCCTGTAATTAAAGTATATAAGCTAATAGTCAGGCAGAAATCAGAGACTAGTTTGTGTACGGAACAAGTAATAGAGTATCAAAAAATAGATCAAAACAATATTGAAAAGTCATGCTCATGTTTCTGTATGATTAGCTTTCTAGAAATATATATGTGTATAAACAGAAGGAGGGAGAAGACCCCACTATTCTTGTTACTTAAGAGCGCAGGAGGGTGTAGAAGATACATGAGAATTAATATGACCATAAAGCATTTGAAATTTAGCATTGCCTGGTCTTATCCGGGGGTGGGGTGTTATTTAGGGCAGAGATGTGAACTCTGAGGGTTTGTAAGCCATAACAGGAGGTACAGGAGAAGGCTTTGTTCTTACTTATTCAGGAGTGTGTTCCAATAGCATTTTCTTTCTGAGCTTTTCATTTTTTCTGACAGGAATTTTGGAAGTTATGGTAGTCACGTTGTCTGTAAACTTTCAAGAAAAAGAATAGATGAGATACAAATTCTAGTTGAGCAATGTGATGCACTGTAGAATTTAGGAAGCATAGTTTTCTGTGACTTTTCATGAAGTCGCTTCCTTATGTCAGTCCTCCTATATCTCAAGTAGTATATCCTGCCCTCTTCCTCAGTGGAACTGCTTCCTTGAGTGTTCATCCTCTGGTAAAACTCTGCCTAGTAGGCAGTGTGGTCACCCAGGGCTGTTTCTTAGGAAACAAGGACAGAAAGAAAATGTTTCTTTTTAGAAAATTTTTTCCATAATAAAAGAAAGAAATAATATGCTTTTGTTTTTTTGTTTTGTTTTGGTTTGGTTTTTTTGGTTTTGGGGGGTTTTTTTTGTTTTGTTTTGGTTTTGGTTTTTTTGCCTCTGGATATCTTCACTGTTAACTACATTCAAGTTTAATTGAAAGCAACCTAACTAGGAAGAAAAAATGTGTAGCACCATAGCATGCCTTAACAGTCAGTCTGTGGGAGAGAATATTTACATCTGAATGTAATGACAGCAGTTCATTTGTTTTGAATAGGACATACCTAACCAATTCTATCGAGACCCTAGCAGTCTGCATGAAATTCTCAGGTCAGTTGCAAATAAGTTTTTAATTATTACCTTTATCCACTTACAGTATACTAGAGTTTGGTTCTTGTTATATGTGCGTATTTTTCAATTTAGGAGATTTGTTCGTACAAGTAGATGTCCCCTTATATTTATAATTTCGGATAACTTCAGCGGAGACAGCAACCAGAGGTTACTATTCCCAACAGAAATTCTAGAGGAGTTGTGTATATCTAGTATTAGGTAAGATGTTTTATCTCATTAAAATCTGGTTGACATAAATGAGAAGTCAGAAACTAATTATTTTTTTTTAAATTAAATTCAACAGTTTCAAGCCTGTTGCACCCACAAATATGATGAAAGTCCTTAATCGAATAGCTGCAACAGAAGCTAGTACGGTAAGTTGTCAAAACTGATAACTTCTGTGCAGTGCTAGGACCACAAGATTTTAGACTTTTATGTCTGCATTGTTATTTATATTTGTTACTGTATTTGTTTGATCTTTGATAGCACACCCCCACACTGCCCAGATAACCCCACCAGCCCTCCCCCACAGAAAACAAGGAACAAACTGGAAAAGTGTCTTGTTTTTAAGATTAGTTCCACTTGATCTTTGCTCTAAGTCTTCAAAGTTACTCCTGAAAATTCTTCTGCCTGTTACAGAAACTATACATATAAAACAAATAATAAGAGTTTTCTTTATATTAAGCAAGGCCAGAAGAGGTCACAAACCTAAATCCTTATTATTCCTGAACTGTTTTGATTACAGACAATTCTAAGATTGAGTGATACCTTGCACAGAATTATGTGCGTTATTCTCTTTATTATTACTATATCAAATGTGGCAATGTGCTTAAATGGATTACATGAAAGTTAGCAGTGTTACATGGTTTGAGCACGTGGTGTGTGCTCATGTAGTCTCTTTTTATGGTGTGTATCAGAGGTGTGTCTCTGCAGCCAGAATAACATTTAAATACTCTTTTTGCTACTTTTTCTTATTACTTTTGAATGTTGCTTTCCCTCGTAGAGCGGAGAAAAGAATTGTGCTCTTGATAGAACTTCTCTGGAGTTGCTTTGCAGAGGTTGTTCAGGTGATATAAGAAGTGCAATAAACAGTCTTCAGTTTTCTTCTATGAAAGGTAAATATGTATGATTTTGTTAAGTGGATGCCATTTTGAGCATTTCTGCTGTATTGTGTTCTCTGTTGCAGCACGGCTAGGTGAGCTGTGCAAAACTTTTTTGGCATGTTGCTCTGGAGCAGGAGTAAAAGGCACAAAGTTCTTGTTTGTTTTTTTTTAAAGCTGAGAAGTTCCGTTTCGTGACTGTTATATGTAATCTTAAAACTGGGTAATATCTGCTGCGTATGTGTTGATGTAATTTAACGAAGTCCCCTCTTTTCTTCATGTTATCTTACCTGTTGGTGTGTGTTTACTGATGAAAGCTTTTATGACACAGCCTTAATTTGAAAGGGCTGTTTTCATTGCTTGATTCTTTATACTCTACCCTTAAAGCATTTCTGAAATAGCCCATTGACTTTGTATACAGCATTTCTATAATAATTGATTTTGCTTTGGAGTTCCTACAGCTGTTGGTAAGCTGAAAAGCTGTGAGGTGGTATGGCCTACTGTGAAGTTACTGGGTGTATTATAGAATAACTTTGAAGTTTGGTGTTTACTTGGTTGGACAATGTTCAAACTCTGTTTGGGATTATTTTAAAAGTTCCAGCATTGAAAGAAAACAAGAGACTTACTGTTACGTCTTTTATAAGCATTGGAAGTCAATAATCGTTAAGAAGCCAATGTATGCGAGTTACATAATCTGTTATTTTTAAAACGGTTACTTTAGCATGTGTAGTTCTTGCAAAGAATCGTTAGGTGGTGCCAACATTCACATTCAACGTGGAAACAAGGAACTGAATTCAACAGTTGCTTCCTGCCCTATGGTGTAAAGCTAGCAATGATCTTGTTGCTTTTACTCGTTTTGTCTCCCATCCACCTTACAAATAGAAAATGTGCTCATGAAATACAGGGTTAAGCATAGTTTCAAGTAGTTTGAGTTTTAGAGTATATTGAAATTAATTTATCTCTGTGTGTTAAATTGCATGAGGGAGAGAGTCACATTTCTAGGTTTAACTTGCAGATGTGGAAACGAAATTCTTCTGATGTTGTCTTCTAGTATAGTAAGTTTGTATTTTTCTTTGTTAATCAGAAAAATGTGAAATTCCTCTCAGTAAAACCATTTTGATGATAATGCCATTAAGCTAATAAATAAATAGTAGGTTGGGGATACCTGAGAAAAGTTTGCAGTAGCTCACTGCTGGATGCGAAGTAGCTTCTACATACTGTAGAAAATCTACATAGTCTTAAAATGACCAGTTTGTATAATTTTTAATAAACTACCTTGGAAATCTAAAAACATGAGTTTTATAAAGAGAACTTGTGAGAAAACAAAGGCATATGGCTTGACAGCTTCTGTACATGACACCTCAGAATCATGTACTCAATTCATACCGCACTGAACATTTTCTTCTTTCATTTTCTCTAACAGCTTGAAAACAGCTGACTTCATGTTGGATAGAGATTTTTAGTTGTTCAGGTATTTCAGTTAGGTAAATGATTGGCAGCCAGCAGACAGCAATATTTTGTAAATTTTGGGGAGAGCTCACCTCCTTGTTTATCTCCTGAGAATGCAATCTTAGTTTTTTTGTACATACACACACACACATATATATATAATATATATATATACTG